CTTTTTGAGCTCGAAATATAAACGAGTCGAACACGAGAGTTGTGGGCTCGCTCGTGTTCGGCTCGTTTACACCCTACCTATCACTTAAGAGCCAACTCCTTAATTTAAATTTACATTTACATATTCATCCTCTTATATATATATATATATATATATATTAAATTAATGATATTATTATATGATATCATTATTTTAGGTGGTATAAATATATGAAAAATTAAGGTTTAGGTGTTGGAGAAGTAAATGCATAGAAATTCAATGGTATGTGCATGTATGTCACACAATTGTTATGTATAACCTAGATGTGTCGTTGAATCACACCAAAGAATAGTGTCACAGAGGAGACGAAAATTCATCTTTCTAGCAATTGAACAATTGAGTCTAGACAAGGTAAAGGTGAGCAAGACGAACGAGATTAGAGAGATTTTCTCCCTGTGTCTAATCAATGGCAGATTGAAATTAGGACTAATAATTCGGGATTCGATTCATGGATTTACGACCTCACTGTTTGCATTTAATACCCTATATTATAGAGGTTAGTTTTCATAAAATGATGCATTTAGGCATATACCTACATGCAGGTGTCTTTAATGGTCATATCCCCACAAAAATTGAGACAATGGAGAGATATTCTCTTGGTTAACTTCTTTACTGAAATGGAAGACCATTTTCCTCTATCAATCCTCATATTCGACCTTTCATATTCGACCTCTCGTACTTGACCTCTTGTTCTTGATCACTCATGCTCGACCTCTCAAACATAACCTACGAGAGTTTTATCGAATTATGCATGACCACCTAATGTTCTAGGTTGACCTTTTATAGCCCTCTTTCGGGTTCCGCCTCACTAGTTCTTACTAAAGGACGGGTCAAGAGTTATTCGACCTCTGGTAGTTCGGGTAGTCGTTTTTTGTCATACATATTTAGTTCATTGATCCTTTTGTCTTAGTAGGTTGTGTTGCGATAAAAATATGAGAATTACTTTTAAAAATACTCATAATTTGAATACTCTTTTAGATTTGGGGCCTCTGGCGCTTATAAATAGAGCAATGAGATTTCTCTTGAAACGATTTATTTCAACATCCTCCTTTTAATTTTTGAGTTCAGCTACCCCTCAGAATTTGGTTATTTGTTGAGCAACAGTCAAACTCAGTTATGCAAGTTGGACGATAAGATATGTTTTCATGAGTGAGTGAGGTCAAAGCTCAATTAGGCGAGTCCAACAACATTATTTTAACAAAAAGTTGTGCTTGTTAACTAGGAGAATTATTATTGAATGAATCAGATACTTAGTGAATACAATGAGAAAATGATATGGGAAATTTCTCTAGAGGTGGCTATTTATCTATTTCTCTGCTAGTGATATATTATAAGAGTGACATGCCTAACTCATATCTTACACTACCTGTACACCCATAATCTCTCAGTTAAGTCATCGTCATAGACGAGTTGCGTCTTACGTTAGACTTATTAAGTGGATATTATCACTATTTTTGCAGATGCAACCATTTATAATCACCTTTAAGGTGATATATGCATTACTTGTAGCAAATTTTGTTTATCACAAAGGAGAATCTTGTCATCAGGGTTTGAATTATGCTTCGAGAGCTAAAGGTAGATGGGGTTTACATTGCTTGAGCACTGCAGATTGAATAAGTACATATTTGTATTTTGCAAATATCAGTGATGTTTATTATGATAGAAAGCTAACTAGCTAGAAAACCTTACTGTGAAGTGATGGGCATTCTACTCGATTCAGATGTTTATGGTATGCCCGATCGAAGATATTTTGAATGAGCGAGTTAGCGAGTTCCCTAAATGTAGTACGCTACCATGATGGCCTTCGATGAAGAGAACAAATAACATTTTAGCTATAAGAAGATAATGCTCATGAGAACATCACAGTTGCCAGAAGTAACAATTAATGTTAACATGTAATCACATAATTGTCCAATGAATGGTTATCATAAATATGACATATAAGGTTGTCAGTATTATTTTTCGTTGGTTGACTATAAATATTGAAGATCTTTTTTAGTTACGTTAAAAAAAAATGTAAAAATAGACATAAGAATTGTCAGAAGTGAACTCCAAGTGAGGAGGTTAAGGAAGCTGGTGAGGACGAGTAGGATGGCTCTTACTTGCCTCCTTTCAGCCTTTGAACTTTTTATTAGTTGGTTTTTGAAAGGGAGAACTTCTAGTTCACTAGTTTTAAACTTTGACTTCCTTTCAGCCTTTGAACTACTTATTAGTTGGTTTTTGATAGAGAGAACTTCTAGTTCACTAGTTCCAAACATTGACTAGTCAGTTTTCAGAGTCAGCCACTAGAGGGTTCGTCGTTCGTCCAAGGTGGACACATAAATGAGGAGAAAGAGTCTTCCAAGATTGATTCTAGAAGCTTCTCTTTCTGGTGGTCTTATTAGTAGAGAGGTCGATCAAATTTTGGATTGTCGGGGACAAATTCTCAGCCATCAAACATCACTTATGGCCATTTTTTAGTAGTTGCAACTGCTCCTTGCTTTCTGTAGCTCTAATTGCTCTGGGACTCTTGTTGGTGGTTTGTTACTTTTGTACGTAGCGGGGAGATCAGGGGAACAAATGACATTTTTTTAGAAAAATATCTAATTTGATTCCCTTAGTGGACAAAAGAAATGAAGGCATACTCTTGCCACTCCCCCATCCTAGCTTAATTAGGCATTCTCATTATGTTCAAAGGAATATGGTTCTTAAGGAGAAGCATCTTGATTCAACATAATAAGGGGAGAGCTGGCCTCATAATTCAACAGAAGGGCGACTATAGGAGTCGATCAAACACCAAAAATTTTCTTACCTCTCGCTTGCTCGCGATTAACGATCAAATATGAAAGGCTGAATGACCGAGTGTAATTTCACTTGCCTTATTTATGAAATAAAAAGATTTTCCATTTTCTTACCTGCTTCTATTTCATTTTAGTATATGTGAAAAACTTTTGCATGTGACTTAACAAATTTCTTACTCTCTCCTCTCATAGGTTATTTGTGGTGGTATTGGGTTGAGCCCCTACAAAATTAATGGTTCTTTACATAGGAGTTCCTCGAGCTCGAGCGCGTTTGTCCCTGCATAATTTGTATGAGGGTGAAGGCGATGGCCATTTGGTTTGATATTTGTCAAATAAGAAATGACTAAGGGTGCAACTTAGTCATCTTATTCAGTTATTCATATCCATAAACACCATTTTCTATTCATTTAGGCAAGAACCATCCTTTGCCTGCTAGAGAACCCTCTGCTCTTCCACAGGTTTTATTTTTTTTTGCCTTCATGAGCTACACCTATAAAGTTCTATTACATGGGGGCTTTCTATATTCCCAAATTCCAAGGGAGTAGTAAACTACATTTCTAAATATTTATCCTGCCCATATTAATAGGATTCTAAGTGATTCAACTTCAAAAAGATATTTTTCAAGTCAATCGCCTATGCACATTTTTAGTGAAAATACAAGCTTAAAGATAAAATAGCTCAAAGCCATCTCCGCTTTGTGTTCTAAGTACTTCTTTTCTTATGAATATTTGTAGCTTGTAGGCTCTTGGGATAACTCATTTACTGATTATGAATAGAGCGGTCCATGTCTAGTGATGATTCCTATTAACTTGGTTGTGTGAGGCTAGGTCGGTCGTCTTCACCACAAGGTCTTCATCTTTAAACTACATTTCTTAAAAATGGGCACATTGTAACGAGTTGTTCTCCACTTTATCTTTTCCTGTTGAAGGGTTGACTTGGTATGCTCTTCTTCAATTAAGATGAGTGCAACTTTCATCCCATCTTGTCATTCATTATGATCCTCTTCTTCAAATGTTAATGCTACAACCATCCTTTGAGCGTGCAGGTTATACTTGACTTGAACTGCAACTTCAATCCCAAGCTAGAGCATGAATAGGATTTGTTTGGTCATAATTAAGTGTCTTCTTTATTTGCCATAAGATGAATAGAAGGAGATTGTCTCAAGTGCCTTTCATTCCTCTAACCTTCTTCCTTAGCGGATTTAGGATTAGTTTGTTTACGGCTTTGACTTCCTTATTTATCTATGGATGATTAATGGAGGCAAACTTATGACAATCTAATAGAATTATTTCAACTAGGCTAGATCCTACAGTTATTTTCTCT